AGAACTAGAAGAAAAAAATTTTAAGTTTGTATGGAGACACAAAAGACCCCAAATAGCCAAAGCAATCTTGAGGGAAAAAAACGGAGCTGGAGGAATCAGACTCCCCAACTTCAGACTATACTACAAAGCTACAGTAATCAAGACAATATGGTACTGGCACAGAAACAGAAATATAGATCAATGCAACAGGAAAGAAAGCCCAGAGATAAACCCACACACCTATGGTCAACTAATCTATGACAAAGGAAGCAAGGACATACAATGGAGAAAAGACAGCATCTTCAATAAGTGGTGCTGGGAAAACTGGACAGCTACATGTAAAAGAATGAAATTAGAACACTCCTTAACATCATACACAAAAATAAGCTCAAAATGGATTACAGAGCTAAATGTAAGACCAGACACTATAAAACTCTTAGAGGAAAACATAGGAAGAACACTATGACATAAATCACAGCAAGATCTTTTTTGACCCAACTCCTAGAGTAATGGAAATAAAAACAAAAATAAACAAATGGGACCTAATGAAACTTAAAAGCTTTTGCACAGCAAAGGAAACTATAAACAATACAAAAAGACAACCCTCAGAATGCGAGAAAATATTTGCAAACAAATCACTGGACAAAGGATTAATCTCCAAATATATAAACAGCTCATGCAGCTCAATATTAAACAGGCAAAAAACCCAATCAAAAAATGGGCAGAAGACCTGAATAGACATTTCACCAAGGAAGACATACAGATGGTCAAGAGGCACATGAAAAGCTGCTCAACATCGCTAATTATTAGAGAAATGCAAATCAAAACTACAATGAGCTATCACCTCACAGCAGTTAGAATGGGCATCACCAAAAAATCTACAAACAATAAATGCTGGAGAGGGTGTGGAGAAAAGGGAACCCTCTTGCACTGTTGGTGGGAATGTAAATTGATACAGCCACTATGGAGAACAGTATGGACATTCCTTAAAAAACTAAAAATAGAATTACCATATGACCCAGCAATCTCACTACTGGGCATATACCCAGAGAAAACCATAATTCCAAAAGACACATGCACCCCTATGTTCACTGCAGCACTATTTACAATAGCCAGGTCATGGAAACAACCTAAATGCCCATCGACAGATGAATGGATAAAGAAGGTGTGGTACATATATACAATGGAATATTACTCAGCCATAAAAAGGAACGAAATTGGGTCATTTGTAGAGAGGTGGATGGACCTAGAGACTGTCATACAGAGTGAAGTAAGTCAGAAAGAGAAAAGCAAATGTATGTTAACACATATATGTGGAATCTAGAAAAATAGTACAGATGAACCAGTTTGCAAGGCAGAAATAGAGACGTGGTTGTAGAGAACAAATGTATGGGCACCAAGGGTGAAAGTGGTGGTGGTGGGGTTGTGGTGGGATGCATTGGACATATATACACTAATTATGTATAAATAGATAACTAATAAGAGCCTGCTGTATAAAAAATAAATAAAATAAAATTCAAAGAAAAAAAAAATCATGAGGAAACAGATGAAACCACGCTGTGAGACCTGTGCAAGACACCTGGCCTAGACTCTTAAAAATGTCCATGTTTTGGAAGAAAAAAATGACAAGAGAATTACTCTAAAGGAGACTAAAGAGATATAAATACATCATGTGAATCTTAATTGGATGCTTGATCAAAAACAGAAAGCTCCAAAGGGCATTTGGAGGACATTGGGTGTTTAAAAAAAAAAGAAAGAAAACTTTGTAAATATTTCATTTTGAAATTTGCATATATGAAACATCTCACAGGCATATATTTTTCCCTGAAACACTCAATTCATTTATTATATTTATCTCCACAAAAGCTTGTAGTTGAATTACTCTTTTAAATATTGAAGACTTTTTTTCCCTTGTGGAAAGCAACCATGGAAAACAAGACGCAAATGATACTAAGAATGAACAGAAGATGGCTTATTCAACTTTAGAAAAATTAATGAATGAGTTGTGTAGGACCTCTTGAAAGAAGAGCACTTCTATAAAGAGTATATGAAATGATACCTAAATTCCTAGTAATAATAACAACAAAGCACAATAATTACTTGTATATATTTATAAACATATATTTTGATTGGGATATATATGTGTATATACGTGTGTGTGTGTGTGTGTGTGTGTGTGTGTGTGTAAAATGCCTGTACTTCCAACTGCTGAAAGAACTCATGCAATCCATTTTCTCATTTATTTTATAAAATTCCCTTCTCTGTAGGAATGGAGATGTTTATGTCCTGCATTTCCTTCAAAGTATTTCTTTATTATAATAGCAACTACAGCATTCTATGTATTGTTTATTGGTGTTAGTTGTTTCCTTTGGTAATAAATAGTAAACTTATTAAGGCTTTTCTTCAATGTACCAAACTAATTATAATATTAAAAACAGACTGGCTAAATTTAATTTTAAAACTCCCAGTTATATTGACTGAGTTTAGCCAACTGTCATATTTATAATTCTAAAATGGTTTATTTTTTCAGAAATTTTACATTGGATAGATGACATGACTTATTGTCTCACATGAGGATTCTGGCTTACATCCTTTTCACTGAACGTGTACGTTTACTCTCATGACTTTCCAACTTGCCTAGTGGGAGTCTTTTTCTTTCTTTACAATAAGACTTATTTGGGGAATGGCAAAATCATGTGTTATAGTAAGTGTGGCTCTTAAGTACATGGCTTTATAACTATAATCTATTTTGCTTGTGCTTATGGAGGTATGTTTCCAGGGCTCTACATTAATTTGAAGGTAGACTCAATAAGTTTAAAATGTATATTACAAAACCTAAAGCAGTGACTAAAATAACAAAAAAAAGTTATAGCAAATAAGTCAACAAATGAAGCACAACAGAATAACTAAAAAATTCAATTAATTCAAAAGAAGGCTGAAAATAGGAAAAAAATGAAAGAAAAGATGAGACATATAGCAAATAAATAGCAAGATGATAGATTTATACCCAATTATAATACTCATATAAATATAAATGGTCTAAATGCTCCAGTTAAAAAGCAGAGATAGTTGAACTGGAAAAAAGGAAACAACCATATGCTGCATAGAAAAAATGTATTTTAAATATAAAGTATAAATAGTTAGAAGTAAAAGGATGGAGAAAACATATACCAATGTAGTACTAATCAAAAGGAAGCTAGAGTACCTCTATGAATAGCAGCAAAGTAGGTTTCAGAGCAAAAATACCACCAGGAATAAAGAAGGTCATTTTCTAATGATAAAAGAGTTATTTGATTAAGAGGACATTACAACCCTAATCATTCATATATCTTTCAACAGACTTTCAAAATACATGAAGCAAATACCAATAACTGCCAGGAGAAATAGAGAAATCAATGGTTAGAGTTGGAGATTTCCACATTACTCTCTCTGGAATTTTTAGTACAAGTAACTAGAAAATCAGGGAGGATATAGAAAACCTGAACAACACTATCTAACCACTTGGCCAACTTGACACAAAGGTTTTATGTACATTTCAGACTGAGATAATGAAATAAAATGCATAAATAACAATGTCCAGTCTATCAATTAGGGAAATTTTAAAAATGATTCACAAATAATCATTAAATCATATGCTTAATATAAATGGAGACAAGAAGTATTTCACCAGCACAATGGTTTACACCTCTTTCCTAAATCAACTTATATAAGGATTTAAATATTACAAATGTGCTTTTCAGTGAATATTGCACATGGATTATAGATTAGAATACTTATCTTAAAATTAATTTCAAGAACTGTATAATTTATGAAGTTTAGAAAATTTCATCTTATGGAACATATTTGCATTCTTTACACATCAAAATGCCTACTGTAAAAGGTGAAAACAAGAACTGAAATAGTTATTTGCTATAAATCATAGCAGATATTTGTCTACACCTCAAAACAATTTGAAGACATTGTTACAAAATACCCAATATTCATTCAATCTAAGAAGCCACTGATTATAAAACATGCCATTATTTTACATTCTTCTAGAAAATAGTAAGGGCTATTAGATTGTGACATTGAGATACACCAATTTCTGAGATGTTAAAATGCAAAATGTGTGTGTGTTCTGAGCTGTTAAGTGAATATGTCTGTCCTGAGATGCTAAATGGGCATATTCTGAGACATTAAAAGTTAAAGAGTTGTGGTTTTGTAATCTTAACCTAAAACACATCTCCCTTAAACTAAATTTTGTGTGAACTGAATTTATACTTTATAGTCTCATTGAAATAGTCACTCCAGTCTTGGTATTTCTGGGAAAATTAAATTCTCTACCTTGCATACTTGAAGAAAGAAAGATATTCCCAACCTTTCTATTGGTTAATAATACAACAACAGTAAGGAAATAAAGGGGTTACATAAAATGGAAAAATCATTATTAACTCATAAATGCTTAACATGTATGAAAGTGTATTATATTTTCCCCAAAATCACTGAAATAAGAGATTACGTTTCTACTGATGTCTTCAGAAAGGTACAGTTCTTTGCACAGAATCTAAGCAACAAATTCATTCAATTTCATTCATCTCAGGCCATATTTTAACATCTGATCCAATTAGTTATTGATATTACCCTTGAGTACTTTCATTCTCCAGAATCTCACAGACATTCAGACCAGTAGCTACCAGTAGCTACAAAGATGTAGTAAGAACATAGTAAGAACTTTTAGCAAAACAGTTAGAGATCGTATGGTGTAGAAGTTTAAGTGCATCAATATATACTGATCATTATAATATTAAAACACAGATTTTACAGGTCAAATTCATTAATCCATGAATTAAAACACAATCAAGGTAACTGAGCTGAGAAACATCCCTATTTTAATTTCAATGAGCTAATATAATCATCAAATCTGTTCACTTCTATAATTATAATTCTACAATTCCTAATTATCAAAATAATCAAGGAACAAAAAATGTTAAACAATTTGATCCTCTACTTCTGTATGTCATCAAACCACCAGAATGACTTACCTTATCTTTTCTTTGCTTTTCATCCTGGTATACTGTCCAGTGTTCTCCATCATTGCTGTAAGCTAGTTTGTAGGAGCCTACAAACTGCACATGACCAAAATCTTTAGCTCCTTGTGTAATAATGCCAGTCACTTTGGTAGGGACCAGAAGATCCACCTACAAAAAGGAAAAGACATAATTCAAATGCCATGATAGAGTCCATTATAAATTTGCAATTCTTTTGAACTCAGGAGATTAAGAAATACATATGCTAAAGCCAAAAATTCACTTGATTATTTGTATTTTGAAATAGAAGACTGAGTCTATTATTGGCTTGTGATTTTGATTATGCCACTGGGTAAACCTGGCTGAAAATTTGAAAAACCATTTTGAGCATTTTTAAATAAAGTGGTGGTCTTTTCAGTCTACCAATCAATTTTATGTTAAACTGACTCATCTAGCATGTGGTTTTTGTGTAATTGAGATAGTACAGAACTGGCAAGGCTGATCTTCTTGAGACTGATCATCATCTCCCAGAGTCTGTGCTTATAAATCAATTTTCTGATTTTATTGGTCAATTTTATAGTAATAAAAATTATAGCTGTGAACATATCAGGAACAAAAACAATTGATGTTTCCTAATTAAGCATTAAAAAGTCAACCCTGTTTCCATGAATTTTAATCAGTTCAGTTATATATAATTGAGTAATAGTAATCATTGGCCAATGAAAATCATCTTTCAGAAAACTACGACCCTAAAACTGTTGAGGATGAAGTCAAGTATTCTTCAAAAATGAGAGAGAATTAAAATATGCATCCATGACTTGCGGGATCTGTGCTCACAATGTGCTCATTGTTGCAATATATATATTAAAGGGCATAAGACCCACGGTGATTTAGTAAGCATTAAATTCATCAACTGCAACACTGAAATGCAAGAGATAGGAACGATTTTCATCAAAGAAGAATACATAACATTGAATAGTTTAGTATTTCCCCTCTTTGTTCTCATTCATCTTTTCTTATATCTTATGATGCTAATTAAAAGAAAAATTATAGGAAACTTTGTTTTCCATGTGGACAATTCTTATTAAGACCTTTACCATTTGTTGTACTAATGTTCCTTGATCTATAGCTTCCTCTCTCCTCCCACAATAGCCACCTACTTCTTACTTCCTATGACTAAGTGTGCTGCTACATCCTTGATCTTATCATCTTCAACTGTCATGATCTCATGTGTGACCTTAGTGGCTTTCAACCACTATGACCTTTTGTTTCTATTTCAGGTTCTCCATCCTGAGAGATGTTCGTAGCTACAAATAGACAGTCATGGGTCAGATGCAGGCCATCAATGAGAAGAGGGGTCTATGGAGACTGCATTGAATAGACCATATTAAGTGACATAGATGCTCATCAATAAAGATATGAAAAAGTTCCCAATGTTTCATGGCATAGGATTATATTTCTTAAAAAATTCACATGGGCTTTTTGCCCTCTTTTTGTACCATTCATCAAAGACATTAGGCTCAAGCCGGACAATGGATTAAGACAGAAAACCACCCTTAATGCTTTATTAAAACATTGTAGAAAGTTTATAAAAAATTATAAAATATAATGTTGTTACTACTTTCCAAACATGTATTATGTCACTTAAAATATCTTGCGTGTCCAGCGGCAATGCAGGATGGCAAAATTATGATATCCTGGGAGGGAAACTGTTGCTGCCTCACATAATGCTAAATGCTTTGTGGTATGTCTTCAGTGACTCCTCTTAATACTCTTTTCCGGTAGGATATCATCTCCACTTTAGAGGGAACAGTTGCTAGGGAGGTAATATAACATGACATGTGATGCAAAGATCCAACAGTCAGTGAAGGGAGGATCCCAGATTCAAATCCATGTCTTTCTGATTCAAAGTTCCGCATATGGATTCTCACTCAATGATTTCTTCCCATTCTCTGTGACTATTTCAGAAATTTCTGAAGAATCTCAAAGGTTTCTCACCACACTCATCAAACGTATAGCCACTCTAAGCTCCAAACAAAAGCAGTCCAGGCTTTACAATATTATGAGAGTCCTGTCTTTAAACATGAATTTCCTCTATGTTCTTTAGCTGTCTGGGCTTAAAACTATGGATTGCTGTTGCTGTACTAAATCCAAATCTAATTGCGCAGAAACGTCTAGGCCTAGCCACTGGTCTTCAAAGTGCTCTTAATGTTGCTGACACTCAATAAATGGTACTCTGAGTCACTGTGTTGTCATCAAGGCTGTAAACATACAGGAACTCAAACTGACACCAAGAATACCTCCAGTGGATTCTTCAGTGCCTAAATGTCTATAAGTCCTAAGCTAAGATGATGCAGTGAGGAGTCTTGGAGCATCTCTCTTTCAGTGGCATTTCACTAAAGTCAGGGTTTCCTGCTGGGTGGAGATGTTTTCTCCTTAAGTTTTGTGTCTTGGCTCTTTCTAACAGATCTGTTTTTCTCCTACTTTAACAGCTCCCCTTCTCCAGCTTTTTTTTTTTTTTTTTTTTTTTGATCCAGAAATGTTTTTCTTTTTTGTTCCAATTAAGTCAACTCCTCGATTTAAATAGTCAGCAATCTGTTTCAAGCTGGATTTGGTCCTAAAATTTGCTACATTATAAACTTAGAATACCAGGCCTAAGCAAACCTTCTTTCAGTATAAAAATAATCAGCATCCCACACTTAACATGAGGTTGTTACAACAGGGATGTACAGATCTCACTCTGCGACACACTGGAAGGACACATCACTCTCATGTTCATCATGCAGCATGATCCCAGAAAAGCCCACTCTTCTGGACCTATGCCTACCCCTGGCCCAGGACCACTCTGTCCTCTTGCAGATTTTCTGAGTTAAAGTTGTACTACAAATATGATTCTGCTATTTTAGACCCTCACCTCCCAAGGTTTGGCTCAGATAGAGCAGGTTATTTAGGGCACTAAGCTGGGACATGGGTAAACATTTGGCTTAATGCGCTGCACTTCATGTCCGGATCTGTATTAAAAGTACCTAACATGTAACTGCCCTCAATAAAGGTTTTTCTGGATTAAGCTGGAGCTACTTCCGAAGTACGTTCTGCAGACAAAACCAACCCGAGGCTAAGGATGCTGCAGTGTATCACAGCAGAAAATGCTAGCTGCTTTCCTCTTGTTTCTCTACGTGGCATTACTGCTTAAGGAAACATCATCATAGTTGTACCAACAATTTTTATTGGAAAGGCAACTAGTTAAAAATCCTCTCCAATCTTCAGGAATGTGATTGTGAAAGCCAGCCTATTCTAGTAGAGCTGAATGGTCTGGGTTCACAAACTGGCTCTATCCTTACTAGCTATATGCCTTTGGGCAAGCTACTTTACCTCTCTACAGCTCAATATCCTCATTTGAAAAAATGAGAATAGTCCCTTTATTAGGATTTTAAGGATTTTATGAGGATAAGATGAGTTAATATATAAGTGTGTAAAACAATATATAGGAGTATTAAAACTTTGTTAACAATAAAACAATAAATAAATCTGGGGGAAGAATCTAATATTGGCCTCAGAGTACCTTTTAGAAACATAAATATGGGAACAGGGAAATCGGGTGGCCAGATTGTCCTAGAAGCAACTTCTTGACATAGCATATTTTGGCCACCTTCTCAGGATGTACACAAAGTCAGTCATTTCATCTTTACTGAAAGTAGAGAAAATATTGAGTAACTAAAATTCACATTTATGCATGAAATGGTTAATTAAGAATATAATTAATTTTATGGAATGTTGTGCATCTCTATTTAAATATTAAGATTATATTACAAGAGGGAAATGGTCTCACTCTTTGCAGATGACATGATAGTATATATAGACAATCCTAAAGATGCTATCAGAAAACTACTAGAGCCCATCAATGAACTAAGTAAAGTTACAGGATACAAAAGTAATACACAGAAATCTGTTGCAGTTCTATATACTAACAACCAAAGATCAGAAAGAGAAATTAAGGAAACAATCCCATTTACCATCGCATCAAAAAGAATAAAATACTTAGGAATAAACCTACTTAAGGAGGCAAAAGACCTGTACTCTGAAAACTATAAGATGCTGATGAAAGAAATTGAAGATGACACAAACAGATGGAAAGATATACCATGTTCTTGGATTGGAAGAATCAATATTGTGAAAATGACTCTACTCCCCAATAAAATCTACATATGCAATGCAATACCTATCAAATTACCAATGGCATCTTTCACAGACTTAGACCAAAAATTTTTGTGTGGAAACAGAAAAGACCCCATATAACCAAAGCAATCCTAAGAAAGAAAAATGGAGCTGGAGTAATCAGGCTCCCTGACTTCAGACTATACTACAAAGCTACAGTCATCAAAACAGTGTGGTACTGGCAGAGAAAGAGAAATATAGATCAATGGAACAGGATAGAAGGCCCAGAAATAAATCCAGGCACCTATGGTCAATTAATCTACAACAAAGGAAGCAAGAATATACAATGGAGCAGAGACAGTCTCTTCAATAAGTGGTGCTGGGGAAACTGGACAGCTACATGTAAAAGAATGAAATTAGAATATTCTCTAACACCTTACACAAAAATAAACTCAAAATGGATTAAAGACCTAAATGTAAAAGTGGATACTATAAAATTCTTAGAGGAAAACACAGGCAGAACACTCTTTGAAATAAATTGCAGCAGTATCTTCTTTGATCCGTTTCCTAGAGTATGAAAATAAAAACAAAAATAAACAAATGGGACCTAATTAAACTTGAAAGCTTTTGCACACCAAAGGAAACCATAAACAAAATGAAAGGACAACCCACAGAATGGGAGAAAATATTTGCAAATGATGTGACCAAAAAGTGCTTAATCTTCAAAATATATAAACAGCTCATGCAGTTCAATATCAAAACAACAAACACCAAATCAAAAAAATGGGCAGAAGAGCTAAATAGACATTTCTCCAAAGAAGACATACAGATGGCCAAAAAGCACATGAAAAGATGCTCAACATCGCTAATTGTTAGAGAGATGTGAATCAACAATACAATGAGGTATCACCTCACATTGGTCAGAATGGCCATCATCAAAATGTCTTCAAATAATAAATGCTGGACAGGTGTGGAGAAAAAGGAAACATCCTACACTGTTGGTGGGAACGTAAATT